TTCGCTGCTTATTAGAAACACTCTGTATAGTCTAAACCAATTTATGGATTGTTTTCGATCAATTTAATACAAAGATTTAAAGTTTTTAGTCGATGATAACATTCCACATCAGCACATTGCAAACCTATTTTATAGATAATAAGAATAAACTTGTAAATCATTAATTTGGTAGTTATCTCACTATAATGATTTTTTTGTTTATATGACTTTTTTGATTTCCAAATATATTTTGGCCTTGCAATACGAAGCGTTTTGTATCTAATACTTTTTTTGTTGAACGATGAATGTTGACAGGCGTGTATCTTTTTCGGAACAAGAAGCGCTTTAACGGCGGAAATGATTTTCGAACTATCCAGTTAGTTTTCGGAAAATTAGAAAATGTTTGAAGAAAGTTGTCAATAACATTAGCATGTCGTTCATTTGTTTCATTTTGATCATTTTTCATTCTAAATTGCATAGAATACTCTTCTTCCGATTCAAAATCGAGATTCTCGATATTTCCACAGTTTATTTATAATACTTTCTACACTGGCTTTATCTATCATTTTATATTCTTCATAATATATAGTATCACCCTACTTTGCACTTTATTAACAATTTTTTTTAACATACTTTAAAATGGGAGGATATTCTCAATTCGTTGAAATATTTTTTTATGTATGTTGAGCGATAATTCTTTAGCACGTTGCCCGGTTTCTATGATTCTCTTTTTGTTAGAAAATGAATAATACTACATAAATTAAGTCAGGATCTGAAGATGGGATCCATGAGAAAATCATTAACATCTTCATTTTTAAAGTAGGTTTTTTAAAATTTCTTTAAACCGTACTGGTTCGCACTCGGTAAAGAATGAAGAAATGTAAATAATTGTTGTGCCGGCCAAAAAGCGCATTTAAAAGTATACAATTTAATAGGGTTAATTTTCAGTTTCTACATTTGAAAATATACCCGATGCCAACTCGGCTAGTGATGCCATAAATGTTAGGTACAGGTACAAATTAATACGATTCGTTTTAAAATTCCTTATTTTAAATTATACTCGACTGAAACTGTCTCTGACGTCATGAGCGTTGTGTAAAGGTATATATTCCAAATAAGCAACATTTCATGTTCCATCGCTATCAGGAATAATAGAAGTGGCATCTCATTTAAAATAAAAAGGAAATAACAGAACTGTCAAAATATTTTAGATAGAAAGATCATAGCCTGTTTACTATTTTTAACAAAAAATCATTCATTATTTTGTCAGATACCGATAACGTCTCCCCGTCGCTGGACAGCCTGTATATAAATATACAGCTCTCTATTTACATAATTATAATTCTTAGGTAGGTTTGAATTTCTAGACATAAATCTTGTAATAAATATAACAGCTGCTAAATACATTGATTACATTTTCATTAGCCAATGTAAAAATGTCTTTTATTGTACCTAGGATTTAACTTAACACTACACGAAACTAAAAATAAAATGTCGTGTAATTAAATAATAAAATACAAATTGAAGCCAAAATATCACAAACGGTCCTGTAACGGCACCGTCATAGAGCCTTGAAACACCGGATTAAAGTGGTGTTGCCAGGTCAATATTGAATTTGTAGGTGAATCGCTTGTTGTACATTAATACCGTATTTGTATATATTTTTGGGAATGTAATTACACATAAATATTACTACTATTATAGTTGATTATTTAAATGTTTATAAATTATTTTGGGGCGATATTTCGTAGATATAAACTGATTAAATCATGTAATTTAAAAATAAATTAATTTAAAATTCTTTTGTGTTAGGTATGTTTAATATACTTGGCAACACTACAGGGACAAGTCATGCATACTGCGCAAGCTTCTAGACACACTATTTTGAGATGTCAGGCGCAGAGACGCGTTTTTATGCACAGTAGGTTTCAATTTCTGCTTGGATGTTAAATTTATATTGGTCTTCTATATTATTTCTATGGATTCCCTTCATTTTTCAGCTTTAGTTCAGCTAGTGCTTTCTTAAATTGCTCCCTCATCTTATAATCGGATTGTACTAATTTTTTCTTATCCTTCAAAACTTTTAATGCTCTACAAGAGCCTTCTTTCTTTCGACCTATTTGAAGAACCTTTTAAACCTGGTTCACTTTACCAATGCTCAGCTGAATCCGAAAACGAATGATAAATCTAATATGAATATCCTTCTGAAAAGTGTAATAATATTACAGCTTATAGAAATCAAATAAACACATATATCATCGGTGCCCTACTGCGGCTGTTGGGAAAACCACAGTTGAATCACTGGTGGTACAAGTCAGCATAAATGTGTTATGAGAAACCATGAATCAAATTAAGAAACATCAAATCACAGCTCAAGAAAAAATTTTATTCCAAAAAAATTGTGTTGCTCCATTTGTATTTGTTAGGGTTGATGTGATAAGAATACCTTTATAAAAACCTTACATAGTGGTGTAATAGAAATTTACTGCAACTCAATGTTAATAAATGTAAAAGTATGACTTTTTACAAATGCTCTAATCCCATAAGAAATTTATATCATGTCAATAACATGACTTTGGAATCGGTTTCTTCTTTTAACGACTTGGGAGTATTATTTTCATCTAACCTGACATTTAACAGTCACATTGATCATGTAACTTTAAAATGCTTCAGACTCCTAGGTTTTCTAAAAAGACACACCAAACACATTAACGGCACTAAAGCTATATTAACTCTTTTCAATGCTATGATTAGAAGCATTATGGAATACTGCAGCACCATATGGGATCCTAGTTATGCAGTCCATATCAACAGATTAGAAAAGATACAGAATAAGTTTACCAAATATCTGCTATACAAATTAAGATTCTGTCTGAAACCTGATTTTTATTGTGTGGGATGCTTAGAGCACTGCCGAAAAACCTCTATGCATCTATTTTTATTTAAAATTCTTCACTCTATAACTGACACTTAAGTTCTATTAGAAAATGTGATGCTTCATGTGCTAGTTCGCTTAACTAGAAATCTACAGTTATTTCACGAACAAACACATAGGACTAATTATGGCACTCATGCAGTTATGGGAAAGCTCGTTCACAATTACAATAGTAATTTCAGTGATATAGATATATTTCAACTAAGTCTAACAGGACTGAAACGAGCTTTATCAATATTATAGAAGTTTTTTTTGTTTATATGTATATTGTTAGTTGTACTTTTATATCTTTGTAAGTTTTGTATATTAATTTCTGTAAGCCATTTGGAATTTATTTTCTGTAGAGCTTATCAAATAAATATATAAATAAATATAAGGTTTTAAATAGTTATGGTCTTTCCACATTGATGAAAAATGGAAAAGAAAAAAGACTGAAACCTGCATTAGGTAATAGAAAAAAAAAAGCATAAACCTGAATAATACATGACCCATTTGGGACAGTTAAATTTTTGTTAAAAATATACTTGTTTTTAGAGGGGAATAACGTGGTGATTTCAGTATTTTACTCTTTGATTTCACCAGGTGATTGATTACCTATCAATAACGTGTTGTCAGTAATAAAGGTTTACAAAATCTACAAATTGTATAATTAATACAGGAGTATTATTACTATAATTTTTATTCATTCGTATTTAGTCAGCATTGTAGAATAATTATTATTACATTTGTTGATCTATTCTTTCATCTATTCTAGTGGTTGTGAATGTCTGATGGGGATATAAAAATGTTTTAATTGTCTTTAAATACTAAACAATGTAAAATATAGTGAAGAAATTGTTAATGTATGAATGTGAGAGAAGGCACCATACCACAATAACTACCCCATATAGACAGGGTGTAATTAAAATATATCACTTGAAACAAAAATACATTAATCACATAGAAAGTATAATGAAAATTTCTGCAATTTGTGCTTTTAAAATGGACAAAAAGATGTTAATGATGAAAATATTATTTTCCAATTAAACATGCAAACATTGGAGCAAAGGCATATATAATGCTACTTGTTTTTTATATAAAATTTTAAATGGTATTATATCCAATTCTGAACTATTAAATATACCACTTTTCAATGTAAATGAAAGACATAGAATGTTGAACTATTTCATCAGGGCCACCATGCTACTTGTTTTTTATATAAAATTTTAAATGATATTATATCCAATTCTGAACTATTAAATATACCATTTTTCAACGTAAATGAAAGACTTATAGAATGTTGAACTATTTCATCAGGGCCACTGAGAGCCATGGTAGACTCGGGTGCAAAATACTGACAAACCCCCTCCCCCACATATGGTAATCTATTTTTTATCTACAAATTCTTCATATTTTACTAAAATGCGGTATGTACTCTATAATGCTGACGGACTCTGGGAATTTTGTCCTTATGTCTAGTTAATACAGAATTATAACTATAAAAAATTATCCTATAATAATTTGACAACTAGGTGGATGACACTGTGAATATTTGCAATTCGATTTTCGTAAACATGATTGGTCATCATTGATTAGCATAGTTGGGACAGAAGTTTGAAAGGCTTTTGGTAGGTAGACGACTTCGAGAATTTCACAATAATGTTTGATCACCATTGTCGTATCATAGAATAAAAATAATACTGACCATTTCAAATTATTACTGACTGAATTCGGCAGTCATACTTATCTATTTATGGGCTAGAAATAATTATTTTAACAAATAATATCCCAAATCTTAATTCTACAAAATTTCAACAACTATTCACAATTTATTAAAACTATTTACACAAAATTGTTATTAGCATTTATAAAATAATTTTCCACACTAATACAGCGTGTTCACTTCAGTTAGCTCCGCGGCAAAAATGTCAATTAATTCCTGTGTATAAAGTAGAAGAACTGCAAAAAGCCTTTCCAACTTCGTCCCTGATTTGATAACCACCTAAACTACAAGACTACCAAATTAATAAATAAAATCTGATTGTAGTGAGTATTCGTATGTAACCATGTACGTCCCCGTTTTAGAGCCCATTATAATGCTTAATACCTTTTTTCTCCACAGAAACTTTTCGCATATCTTCTAATAAGAGTGGAGCAATAGCTTTAGTTGGATGGGTCATATATATGGGACCAGTATATCCTACTATTTCTGACATGTACGGTAAAGCTCCACAATGATCTAAATGGAAATGAGATATTATAACACAATCAATGTACGCCGAAATTGGTCCTTCGCAAATGTAACTAAAATCTGGAAATCTTCGTTCATCATTGTAACCCATATGCATTCCACAATCTAGCATTATATTTTTTCCTCCTATTGATAATAATAAACAGCTTCTGCCAACATCTTGGCCAGCCCCAAGAGGAGTTACTTTAATTTCCGGCATTATTTAAAAACAAAATCAATTATTATTATACTAAAAAGTTAGGTTAACAACGGCTTCTATTTTTTAAGGCCTCTTCTTCTCCTTTATACACAAACGGTAGTTTAGATATATTCCTTATTTAAAAACGGCCATTGGTCTTTGACTTCTTAAGGTCTTAAGTTTTTGTCAAAAGTAAAAAAATGTAATCTGTTGATAAATATTGTTGTCTCTGTAAATATTGAATATAATTCTATGGATTTTTAAATTTTAAAGTAAGTAGCATTTTTAATTTTAAATATCAACAAAACTTAATTTAAAAAATAAACACTTTCAAATAGGTATCTCAGATACAGTTTATCTGTGATACTTTAAAAAAAAAAACATCCAAGGTACAAAAGGTAAATATTTTTAGTAATTCGCGAATTGCAAAATCATAAGAACTTAAAAAGATCATTATTAAGAAAAATAAAAATATTAAAAGAAGCAATGTTAAGGCGAAAACTTATGGGAGATTTAATGGAAGAAAGCAAAAAAGATAAAAGACTGAAAACGAAAATTGAAAATCCAGAGATTATTCCTGTAACTAGCTCAGGTGATATTTCTCCTTACTTTAAAAATGATAATCAAAATTATTTACAACAAGGTTTGAGCAATTATCACTTGCAAAGTATTAAAGTAACTGAACACCTCCAAGCAATAAGTGATGATCCAGTGAGAAGTAAGTGTGAACATTTTCAAGAAAAACTGAATACTCATTACTTACCAACTCTTGAAGATAAAATGTTAATTCTACAAGTTGAATTAAACCATTCACTAAGATCTATAAATCTAAAAATTCCTCCAGTAGAATACATCTACAATCCGCTAGAATATGCATTTGATGCATATAAAATATATATTCTCAAATATTGTTCTTCCATTAAAAAAATTGCATTTGTGGGTATGAACCCTGGTCCTTTTGGAATGTGCCAAACTGGAGTACCATTTGGAGATCCAAAATGTGTCAAAGAATTTTTACAAATTGAAGGAGTTGTAAATAAACCTGAAATTGAATGTCCATTTAGAGAAATACTAGGTTTTAATTCTTCCAGAAGAGAACAAAGTGGAGAGAGATTGTGGAGATTTTTTCAAAGTATTTGCCATACACCAGAATTTTTTTTTAAAAATGCATTTTTGTTTAATTTCTGTCCCATTGCTCTCATGAAAGGAAATGGTTGCAATGTCACTCCTGGGGAAATTAAGGATATAAAGGTACCTAGTGTAATATATAATAGTTATTTTCGATATAAGTGGGATAAGAGCTTTATTAACGTACGCATGCGAAATTTGCACAAGTGTAGCAGTAGTTGGGCGATCACAGAAGTCCGTTAATAAAGTATTATCACACATATATTGTACACATTTTTATCTACGCCTTTAAATGTAAAAATAAATGGTTATTATAATTTTTGTCTAAGACTTAATTTAGGGTTATTGTTCCCCACCATTGCCTACATGTCCAATGGCGTCACATCGAAATGTTGGGTGGTGGTTCTAACAATTGAATAAAAAAGTTTTGTTTTCTTAGCAACGATAATATTCTCATAAACAATAAATCAAAAATAATTCATTTTTAACGTACTTTTGCATTTTCTAGTAATAAAATGAGTGATTCGGAAAGTTTGCCATCTGATATTGAAGAACAAGCTTTAAATATAGTTATCAAATTTAAATAGATTTTGACATTTTTACTTTTTTATTTGATTAATTGAAAAGCAGTGAGATAAGAAAAACGCGTGCGTTACTAAACAACTTCTCTTACGCAAAATGAGTGGGATAAAAAGTTCTTATCTCACGGGCCTAGTTAAATACATTTACCCTTGATATTACTTGATTATTAAGGCAATAAACCAGAAGACACTTTGGTTATACTCTTGGTTTACCTTGAAATCACGTGACTAAAGCCCTAAAAAAGTAACCTCTTATTGTTATGCATTAACGTTAAATCGTTTTTTAAATAAAGAAATTTTCACGTTTAATTTCTAGGTACATTTTTGTTGGTTCTAAAATGGAAATTAAGGAAAATACTTATTAATTATTATTATCAAGTTTTTCCCTCGGTTTTTCCTTATGGACGATATAATTTAATTCTCGCTACCTTGTTAGTACTGGTACGGATTTTTAAAAACCACACAGGGATTCTTATGTGCGAACTCGACACGTTACGTGTTGAATACAGAGAGACATTACATATGAACCGCAGTCTGTCAAATGAAGAAAGGCATCTCGACATATCGATGGCTAAATTCTAACACCATGTAACCCACAAAGAGTAAATTTTACAGTAGAGGCAAAAAACTCTCTCCTGACACATGTATCGTGTGGATTAGGACTTCTTAGAAATTGCGGGAATCAACTAGAAATAATTTTGTTTGGGACAAGAGGTTTTTAATGACCGATAGTGTCCAACTTTTTCTACTGAATAGACGAGAAAACGTGAATTCGTAAAAATTGTGAATTATGACTTGTTAGAATTAAGCCATTGATATATGTATTGAAAGATGAGAAACCCAATGGAAGTCAGAATAAAATTATTGTATCATGTTGATATGTATCAAAAAGAATTAGAGTTGAAGACTGGATGTTAGAATTCAATAAAGAACAGTTTTACTAGTGTTTCAGATGGTGCTAAGAAACATTTTATAAATTACGTATATCTATAAACATAAATAATAATAGTATAATAGCTAATGTAACTTTCAAATTGGACTGAATGAGTTCTCTATAATCTAACCAGAAAAACACTAACTGCATGCCACTTGTCATTATTAACCTACGTCCGGAATCAGGTATTCACTGGTTATAATTAATGGCGTTTCAAAGGGCTTGAATATGACGTCATAGACAGTAACCAAATTATCGGTTGATCTCTTTAAAATGGTTTTTGTAAAGTACCTATGTACAGTTTTAATTAAATAAAACCTCAAGAAAGGTATATGCCCAGACAACACACCAAATCCCAGAGATATCCACAGAATATCTTTTGTGGATATCCAATATATCCACAGGATATCAGAAATATTCCGTGGATCTAACATGGATATCCAAATGTCCGTCTATATCCAGAATATAGAAGATATCATATGGATATCCAGCAAAATATCTAATGAGTATCTTCCAGACAATACAAGAAATCCCAGAGAATCCACATAATATATTATGTGGATATCCAATATGGATATCCAACTAAATGTCCGTCTATATCCCAGGATATAGAAGAATTCGGATATTCAGCAAAATATTTGTAGGTATCTTTAGTAGAGGTTCATAAGTAACCAATGATTATTGAATCAAGTCGAAAGAAAATAACAGAGATAAAAAATATTTTCAACACTCAAAATATTTTCAACACCCTTGCCTTTGATTTTGCCCACTAAGGAGAAAGTTATCCTTATTAGGACTCTTCAGAAATAAATGGAAATTCTCGACTCCAGTCTCTAATGGAGTCTGATTGTGAAACAAATTTCAATCGAACTCAATTACGGCGGCTTGAGCATGAGTAGATGCGAAAGTAGTATCGCCATCTATACTTAGTAAGCAAAATCAAAAATTACATCTAGTGGATATCCACGATGGTTTGCGTTCGCGCCTAGACTTTGATATATTTAGTGGATGTCAATGGGATATTGAATACACCTTAAAAAAATTAATTTTAAATATCTGAACGGTACTATTAGCCACAATGGCGTATTTTTTTAATAATTTGCTATATAATTACTATTATTTATGGACATTTGCATGTCTATAAATTACAGCTCATGGATATAAAATAGATATCCATCATGGACTGGACATTCAGTGGATATTGGGATGTTCAGTAGATATCCAAAGGATTTGGTGTGCTGTCTGGGAGTATCATTTCAATTAGTTGATTTTTCTGCCATAAAATCATAAATTTAAAACTGCTTATGCGATTGTGCTTAAATTTGGTACATTGACAGTTTTAAGCAAATTTTTTCAATAATTGCACATTCAAAATATCACGCCAATGGAAGAAAAGGGGTTGTATGTAATTTGGATGGCTTGACTCATTTATTACAAAAAGGTACTCTTGATAAGATTTAATTACTCTCATGGTTTTGGCGAAATTCATATTTTACGAAATACTTATTTTTTTGTGAAACTGTTTTCCAAATTAGTAAAATCAATCACGAAAAACTACTCGACTAATCCAGCAATTCATAATTAATTATAATAAAAAATCAGATCATACAGAACGCTTTAAGAAATTAAGAAAGCAAGTCAAAACTCTGATAAAAACATGTCACAAAAATCACTTATATACAACATAGAGACAGAATTAACAGATAAACCCCAAAATTTTTGGAACTATATTAAAAGTAAAAGGTCAAATAGTAAATCCAATTTAGTATATAGGTATTCATATAATGGAGAACACTTCTCATGCAATGAAGATATTACAAAAGCGTTTGCCAATTTTTTGAATCTGTGTATTCAAACAGCCCAGCACTTCCAGATCAGGTAAAATTCAAAAATTATAAAACAGCTATGTGACTCCAATACATAAGAGTGGATCTAAAAATGATGTTAAAAACTATCGTCCAATTTCCATACTGTCTACCATACCGAAGTTGTTTGAAAAGCTTATCGACCATTATTTACGTTGGCATTGTAAAAATTTAATCAATAGTCATCAACATGGATTTGTAGAGGGAAAATCAACTACAACCAATTTATTAATTTATCATCATGATATCGTTACAACCCTTGAATCGCATTCGCAGTTGGATGCAATTTATTTAGATTTTACTAAAGCCTTCGATCAGGTCAATCATAATTTATTACTATCTAAATTGCATTTTTTTGATATTCCCCATATTTAATTAAGTGGTTAGAAAGTTACTTGCTTGACAGATCTCAAATTGTATGTATTAAGAATTTTCATTCATATGATATCAAGGTTTCATCTGGAGTCCCACAGGGTTCCCATTTGGGTCCACTTTTATTTAACTTGTTTGTAAATGATTTTAATAATAATAATATATCTTTATTTTTATATGAATAATACATAAAAAAACAAGTCAAGGTACATGAGTATATAAATAAAATAAGCGACAGATATAATAGTAATAAAAAAAAAATACGAATTAAATAATAATAATAATAATAATAATAATAATGAAAATTAAGATTAGCGACAGTTATGATAATAGTAAAAACAAATAGTACACAAATGCAAAATAATAATTAACATTAGCGACACTTATAATGATATAGATAATAATAAAATTAAACACAAATGTAAATTGTAATTAAAATTGGACTTAGTGAAATGATAAAAACTCTTCAAGGGTATATGGATTAACATATGGTTTATGTATTTTTTTAAGACTTTTTAAAACTGTTGATGTTTGAGCATTTTTTAATATAATCTGGAATTAAATTGTACAACATACATCCATTAAAAAATGCCCCTTTTTGATATAGAGCAGTATTGTGTTGATTAGACTGTAGTGAATTTTTATATCGAGTAGAGTATGAATGATCTGCATTGTGTAAAGTGAAAGAGGAAAAATTGCATCTAACATAACATAAAAGCTCATAGATGTAAACTCCGATGGCGGTTAAAATATTGAGCTCTTTGAAGGCACTTCTGCAGGTTTCTCCAGGTTTAAGGTTAGCTAAAATACGTATGGCATATTTTTGGATGATAAAAATTCTATTGAAATCCTTACAGAGACCCCAGTGTATAATACCGTACCTCAAATGGCTATGAAAATTAGCAAAATATAGAGTTCTTGTTATATGGCTACTACATTGTTTAGTCATGACACTAAGTGCAAAACAAGACGACGATAATCTTCTGCTAAGCCGTTCGACATGTTCTTCCCAAGTTAAGTGACAATCCAGATAAATACCAAGTAATCTTATATTATTAGCGTATTCTAAAAAAGTTGCATTTATATGTATTCCGTTGCCAATTTTTAGATTAGATTTATTAGATGTAAAAACCATGCAGGCAGTTTTATCATTATTTATAGTTAACTTGTTGTGATACATCCATTCTTGTAGCCTTGAATATATTAAATTCAGATTTGCTTGGAGATTAGAAACATTTTTGAGTTTTAGGAGAATATTTGTGTCATCAGCATAACAGACAAGTGAATTAATTGCATGGCCTAAAGCACATTTTAAATCGTTAGCGTAGATGATGAAGAGGAGGGGAGCAAGTACCGAGCCCTGCGGTACTC